TTGAGAAACTCAGTTTTCAATAAAGAAAGACGGGAAAACTCAAAGCGGATCAAAAGTTAGAGCAAATACAACAATTATGTCAAGAATTTGCCAATGTTCAAGTGTTGAGGCATTTTCCACCAAACTCAATCAAACTTGTTTTCATTGTGTTTTATGATGTCATTTGAGTCTATTGAAATTTATCTCAACACATATAAATGACAAACAACAAGTGTCAATCAACAAATTAGCAAAAAAGTAATTTATGTCAAAAATCAAACAACTTGAAATCATATACCAAAAATACATTTCAAATGCACAAAACAAAAAAAAAACACAATGATCAACAACCAAATGGTTAGAAACAATTGATATTATTGATATCAAGACATTAAGAAAATTCTCAACATCAATTTGCAACTCATGAGATAATTCAACAATATTTTTCAATCAAGTTGTAAACTCCACAATTTACACATAATCTCATGAATTATCAACCAATATCAAGCTTTTTTTAACATTTCGATTTCAATATTTTTGAGCAATCAAAGAATTAGGCCTAAACTAGGCTAATGTTAGAAAACAAACAAATGCTACAAGAATCACATAATTGGCACAATCACAAACTATGAAAATTAATGAATTAAGATTAAAAAAAAGACATATTTAGGTCATGAATGACAATTATGGGTAAGTTAAAAAAGTGAACCGATACACAAGGCACAAGCTTAAAAATCAACGGGAATAATATATCAAAATTATCGGAAGCTATGCACACGTATACGGTCTCAAAATGCAGACGATTCGGTCAAATTTCGTTTAAAAATGTGATTTTCGCACACAAGTCAGCAGCTCCCAGATTTGACTGAAACGCGTCCAAATCGAGGAACCGTTCGCGGGGAGATCCTCGGATGGCTCGAGAAAGTCGGTTTTCATTAAAGAACGTTGAAAAAATCAAAACGGATCAAAAGTTAGAGCAAAAACACCAATTATGTCAAACTTTGCCATTTACCAAGTATTGAGATATTTTCTATCAAACTCAATCAAACTTACTTCAAAAATGTTTAGCAAGACATATGAGTCCATTAAAAATTACCTCAATTCATTGAAATGACAAGCAACAAGTAATCAATCAAAAATTAGTAAAAGATTAGTTTATATCAAGAATTAGAAACATGAGATCATATGCAAAAATGCATTTCAAATACACAAAAATATCAATGATCATCAACCAAATATAATTGAAAACATGTAGTAAAGCTTGAAAATCAAATACTTGGTCTAAACTACACTAATTGTTAGTTTATGTTACAACACCTAAATCAAAGTTAGTGTTACAATCTACATAACCTAAACTATTAACAAATTCTACATCAAGAATTAGGAGCTATTGTGAATCCAATCAAGAGTTCAATATCTCAAACTAGTGTTAGTGCTAACTAGTTTTCTATAGCTAATTCAACTTAAACACAAGTTTAACTACACCTAGGGCTAAAAATCAACACAACAATATTATGTCAACTTCAAGTTACAACCAAAATCAATTTCTCAAGTTCAATTAATTACTTATTTTAATAAGCAACTCAATAAAATGCTATTAAATTCTCAATTCAAATCAATTCTCAACAATTAAGCCTCAATTATACAATTAAAACCTCAATCAACATAAAACTAAGAAAAATCACTTATTTCAAAAAGTGGTTAATTCAAGAAAACTCACCGATAGAAGTGAAGAGGAGACTTAGGTATAGAGATCTCAACGAACGGGTCAACAATCAGAGAATAATTGCTCATGATCTTGACTTTTGGATCTTGATGAAGTTGTTGTTGTGTTCTTGATGAAAAAGGTGTAGAACCTTGATCTTTGAAAGAATTGAGAGAAAACTTTTACTTGATTTTTGGAGATTTTTCAAATTATATATAGAAATTGGAGTAAAAAGAATATATAGTATGAGCTTATGTGAGTGAATTTGGTTAATGGGTCTCAAATATTCATAAATATTAATGCAGAATTTTAATTCACTTGAGTGTGACACGTTTTGGGCAAATTCGCAGGAATCTAGGTGCGAATTTTGAAGTTGAAATGTGAAACTAAAATGTAGCCAACATCGAGAACAACATCGTGTCCGAAGATGAACTCGATCGGATAAACGGTGATTTAGTTATGATTTTTTGAAGTTTCGTCTCAGATGAAAATATTTTTCGATTCAGGATTTTCAAACGCGTTGCGCGCGCTTCAGACCAAAAACGAAGGCCTTCGGGATATCTACGAATTAGAAAGCTGAAAGAAATATTTAACCAACTCAATTTTTGAACCAATGCCACTCGAACCGGCTCGATACGATAAGAATCGACCGAGTTATGATTTTCTGAAGACGAAGCCGGTGAACATTTTTCACAATTTTCTCGTGCGAATATATTTGATAAATTCATATATTCAAAGACTCTCTGGGTAGAACTGGCTTCTGGCTGTGAGGTACAAAATGTAGATGACATCAAGACAGAATTTTAGCCACCAGAACGGGTTCAAAAAGATAAACGGTCTTCGAGTTATGAATTTTTTAGTGTACGAAAACTACACTTTCAGCACATTTTTCTTTGTATTTTTCACCATATAACTTCCAAAAGAACTGCGTATCCGGAGATTTTCCTTTGAGAATTAGCTTTTGGTTCGAACACAAAAATTGAAGAGAACATCGAGACGGTTTCAAAACCTCATGAATTAACCCAACACACCATTCCAAGCTGGAGATGCGAATTTTCAAACTCTGATCAAGAAAAAACACTGTTTCTAATTCACATTGTTTTTAAATTCACCGAAAACACCCAAATATTCCACAACTCAAACATGCGTTGAAAAATTATGAGAGCTTTGTTGTGTTGATCAAATACCTTGATTACATGAATACGGAACCAATGAGATGCATGCATGTTTATATGCAAACAAAGTATAAGCCAATCAACGTTAAAACAAAGAGGGCAAATTTTGGGGTGCAACAGCTGCCCCTATTTAATCGCCTTCAACCTGAAGGTGAGATTGGCACCAGCCTTTCGAACTTTCCAGGTGGAAGAAGATTAAATACTTAAAAGAAAATCAATGAAGTCGCCACCGAGTATTTATTCATCCCATATGAAAGGGAAAGGAAAACCATCAAAGAAAAACCTAAAGGGGAAATCAAGGTCTTGCGACCGACAGATTGGGTAAGGGAGTCGATTACGCGAGGGGAAGGTATTAGCATCCCACACATCCATAGTACTCTACGGGATCCACTCTCGTCATTCTAATCAAAGGGTGTGTTCAATCTAATGCTTAAAGGTTATAAACTAAGAGAAAATGCATGCAAAGAAAGGAGAAAGAAAGTAGGGAAAATAAAGTTGTACTCGCTTGGGCCCTACCCCAATGCATATGTATCCTTTTTGAGGAATCAGAGCTACTGTAGTTCGGCTCATAGGTTTTTGTTTTTTTTTTGTGTTTTTTATGGACAATGTTAATTTTGTCTTCTGCCGCAGCTCGACCTTTGGAGACTTATGCGTTGGCACAGAAGTAAACTAATCATGTCCTTACCTGAAAAGGGTTTTAGAGAAAAGGTACTTGAGCGCACAAAAATTGTTTGAATTGGTTTGTATTTTTGTTACCTTGAAAAAGGGTTTCAGTATGATTAGCATGTTTTTGATTTGCTAAAAAAAGAAGTTTTAGTTTTAAATGCTATTATGCAAAAACGGGAAGAAAACCTCTAAGGGAGACTAACCTATCTCTAACCTAATGTTATCATATAATGAGGGATCCTATCTAAGTTAGCATTCCAAAGAAAGTCTAACAAAACTATCCTATAGGGAACATGCAATGAGAGCGAAGTCGTGATCTCAATTTCTAAATTGAGTGACTCATCGATCAACAAGAAATAAAGGAAAGCGATAAAATCATATAGGGAGCATGTACTGAGAGTAAAGTCGTGATCTCAATTTCTAAATTGAGTGACTCATCAATCAACAAGAAAGTAAACAAACACAAGCACAACACATATAGCAAATGAAGCACGGAATTCCTGCTACAGGTCTTTAAACAGCGAATCTAAGCGCACGCTCTTTATTTCCTACTTCTCATGATGTCTAGAAAAGCGATAAATCCGGAAGTATAACTTGGAAGCAATATAATACAAAACGAACAATGACGTTTGCAAAAAGTGCAACCAAAGAAAAGAAACCCGAAACACTTTGCGTGAGCTGGCATCAATAAACAAACAGTCAGAGATCGAGTACATATAATAAGTGTCGAAGCATCCTCGGTGTGAAAATAAATCACGATCAGAAGGTCTAGCATATCCGCATATCATACAATGAACCTACATAAGACTCAAATCTCGATAAACAATGGTGAATCGCAAATCTCGAGTAATAAGATAATTATGATTTAATTCCTAAAATCTAATATAAAAAATCTAACAAATTTTATTGATTTTATCATTTTTTATCATGTGGAGAAAATTCAAACAAATCTAAACAATTAACAAATTTTTTCAAAAGAAGTTGCAAATAGAATAAACCAGGGGGTGCAAGCCAAGATCCAGAAGTGTATTGTAGTAAATTGGGCGCAGAGCCCAAGCCCAATAGGTTCAGAATAGTGGTTTTTTTTCTTTTTGTGTTTACAAGCTATTTGGCTTCAACAAAATGCATGGGCTTCATGGACATGCCGGTAGAAAGCCCATCGTGTGTAATCCAAAGATTCTTTCATTCAGATTTTGTTTTTATGATTATCATAAAAAGAATAAGTTATAAGAAGAGAAAAAAAATACAAAACGGTTGTGTTTAACATCCACCAAGACTCTTTAGCTTCCACGTTCAACTCAAACCCTACCTCCTTCGTTCAAAATGATATGCCACCGGACCGACATGCCTTACGGTGGCAGCTGCGATGGCCACGACCTAGAAGCGCAAATTGGTAGCCCTACTCACTTCGTCTCGCTCCCCTCGTCTCAAATCCAGCCTCGATTTTCTATGATTTCTCCTCAACCTTCCTACATATGACTGAATATGAACCAGAAACCCCGATCCAAGCTGCTACTCCTCAATGTAATGATCCTCTTGCTTCTGACTCTGCAGTTATTGATTCTACTCCGTTCTACACTCGTCTTCTCCTTCTTCATATTTCTGCAATTTCGGATCTTTGTATATTCCGTATGTTGCTAATTTATGCTACAATTTGCAGCATTTGATGAAGTTGCGGTCGTTGACAAAGTTGTTGTGAAATAGAGATAAAGATTGAAGATTTTTGCAGCAAGATGATGTCGATGCAGTTTTGTGGATGTTGTAGAATTGATGCGACGATGAATATTTGAAGTTCACGGTTAATGAAGCATAGGTTTGCGATTGAAGATGATGAAGGTTGAGCAATGACTATGGAGGATTAGTTGATGATGATGAAGGTTAAAGGTGAGAGACTGGTTGCAGAAGATGGCGTGGCAATGATGGAGGTGAAGAATGATTGAATGTGTGTGATAATGGATGAAGAGTGATGAATCTGGAAATGGAGAATGAAGAAGATGATGGAGATGAGGGAAAAAGTTCATCTGAAGGATGAATACAAGGTATGAAGTATGGAGAAAAATGAAGGTGAAAAAAATGGTGGTAGTTGATGGTTGACGAAGGTGATAAGGCCCAGAGAGTGTGAGATTTTGATGGAGTTACGGTAGTTCAGAGAGAATTTTCTGTGGTTTTCTGTGATTCTTTTGTGAATTTTCTGTGTGTTAGATAATTGTTTTCTTGAAAATGAATCCCCCTTGTAACTCTCTGAATCTTCTATTATATAGCTATGTTAGAAGTTTGTTAGAAACCGTTGGGAGGTTAGAGTCGAGCTTGGATTTGGTTAGATGTTAGTTAGAGAAATTAGTTTTTTTTGTTATTGAAATTTTGTTTTCTGTTGAGGAATTCTGTTCAGGTGGTTAATGATGTAATATGCACTTCCATCAGTTGGAGTGTACCCAACAGGGAACCCGGTCCACTGGATTTTAACCCCATTTTGGCTAGTATACCTCATAACTGGTAAGTTGTCAAGGATCATATTCACTTGATACAGATTACGAGTTCATTGCTTAAGTAGATTTACTTCATGTTCATTCAATGGTGAAGTTGTACAGAGGTATATCGTCTCATTTACATTCATTCGAAATCGGTATGGTGAGTTATCAATCTGATCTCCGATAAGAAGTTCTCCAAGATTCTCTGCACTTTTCTTTATCCCGCCAGAGGGCTGGCAGTATGGGAGGCTGTAGTATGAGAAGGGAAGCTTGATTTCAATTGAAGTCAATGAATTGACTTTGGAATTTATAAATTCTCCATTGGAATAAGTATGCATGTAGCTTCCAGGAAGGTAAAAACCATAGCTAACCTGAGCAAAGACAATGAAAGAAAATAAAACCCAGTAGATGAAGGGTTTTCTCAGAGTTGGTAACTCCATTTCCTTGAATTCAAAACAATAGCAGATGTGGAAGTTTCCTAGGAATCTAGGCTTACTCCAACAGTGATATCAAATCATGGGTTCTTGCTTCTTGTAGCAGCATGCTTCTATTGCGAAGTGATCACGAAAGGCCATGGCGACAACGCTCGAAGAACATGAAAATCATAGTGCTTTGGCCTAGCAATGTGGGTCGTCAATAATAGGCTTAAACATATTTGTATACTTTTCTATGCATGGTAATGGTATTTGTAACTCTCACTTGAAGTTGTAATGGAATTTCGTAATAGCATGTATGAACTTTTATTTTGATGGAATTAATTGAAACATGAATGAACTTGGATGATCTTGAATGGATTTTTGACGAAACCTGAAACATGAATGACATATTTGGATAAAGCCAAATTAGGCTAGACTCATAGCTAACATGGATGGAATTTGAATGAAGTAATTTGATTTTGATGGATGATAACGCTTGGCTTTTGTTTTAACTTGTCTATATTTGAATTATGAGCTATATAAATTTGGGTTAAAAGTCAAAGGGAAATCGATCAACATTTGAACTTGGATAATATCCTCGGTGATTCCAAAAAAATGAATTCACAAGAACCACACCAAATCATTCTCGCCTCCTTTCCAAAATTCCTAAATTCCATCTCAGATCCGCCTTTTGTAATTGAAGCAACAAACAATAACAATGCCTTGATCATATTACACGTCCACAACATCATCTTTATACCACGATCTAATCCTTGTAATTCATTCCGCCAAGGCACCTTAGTAGACAATCCATTACGTTGAAACAAATGTCGTGGAGAAAACCTTGTGGATAGCAACAATCAGAAGCGCATGAATGATGATGATCACAAAACCCTGAGATCCCTTGAGATGCACTTTGATGGCTTAAAAGTACATGATGAAGGAGTCCTTGTAGCTTAATAAGAAAGAAGTCCACAATATCCATGAACATATCCCTAATTCCATAATTTCACTGCCTTGAAGAATAACCAGAAGAAATCAAGTTTTGTTGAACATGTACACTTCAATCAATTGACAAAACCCTACTCCCGTGCCAAGAAAAATGAGAGCGCCAGTTGAATCAATTTTGATCCAGACGACAGCCTCCATTCAGAGAGAGAAACACTAATGCCAAAGCTCTTCAATCTTATAACCATGAGATCAATGATATGTGCGAAATGTACAAAGCATGATGAGGGATCTTAGGGGCAAAAATTGGGGTACAACAACTTCCCTTATTTAAGTGTCTTCTATCCGGAGATACGAAGATTAAAATCTTCGTTTTGACGTGATTGAAGATACTTAAATATAAAACAAGCCCTATTTTTGGCCCTAAGATGCGATGCGATGCTTATGATTATAGATGTAATATATGACCTTCATGCAGATGGGCCAGACACGTACTAAAGAAATCTACAATTTTCCAAAAGAATTCAATTAAGACGCTAAATCTCTGGAGAACAACATGACTCCTGGGACAGAAATTTGAATCTATTGGAGACAAATCGACTCCGCTGGGGAAAAGAAAACTCAACTTTACTGGGGTAAGATCCAGGGAGGAGACAAAATAACATAAACTTCAAGACTGAGGGGAAAGTAATTGATGCCAATGATCAACCGATAGCTGTGAACTATCCACTCATAGAGGAGATAGCAAAAAAAGAGTAACATCAACACAGGGGATCAGCAGTCGCTAACCAGAAAAGATCAATCTTACCTAAGAATGGTAATGAACTACCCACTCAAGAATGAAGGTAAAAAAAATAAACATAGGACAATACTGACTTTTATTGAAGGTAAAGAAACAGAAGATACACCGACGTTTACTGAAGGTAGAGAAAAGAGAATGCACCAACTTTTATTGAAGGTGACGTCTCAAAGAGTAATAACGAACTTCCCAAAATCCCGGCGTTCTTCCTAGAACAAGTAAAAATACAAGCTATCTCAAATAAAGAGACTACCACTTGTAAATATTTCACAACAAACTTCTCTTGTGAAACTTCCTCGAAGAGATACCATTTGATAGAAAATCACATAAACTTCCCCTCGATCATGACTATACGCCACGAACTGGTCTCAATTTCTTCTTTAACCAAGATATTTCACCTGGCAAGGGTAACAATAACAAGTTATCTCAAATAAAGAGACTACCACTTGTAAAGATTTCACAACAAACTTCTCTTGTGAAACTTCTTCAAAGAGATACCATTTGATGGAGAATCAGATAAACTTCCCCTCGATCCTGACTATAAGCCATGAACTGGTCTCAGTTTCTTCTTTAACCAAGATATTTCACCTAGAAAGGGTAAAAACACAGGCTATCTCAAATAAAGAGACTGCCACTTGTAAAGATTTCACAACAAACTTCTCTTGCGAAACTTCCTCGAAGAGATGCCATTTGAAGGAGAATCGGATAAACTTCCCCTCGATCCTGACTATAAGCCACTAACTGGTCTCAGTTTCTTCTTTAACCAAGGTATTTCACCTGGAAAGGGTAAAAACACAAGCTATCTCAAATAAAGAGACTGCCACTTCTAAAGATTTCACAACAAACTTCTCTTGCGAAACTTCCTCGAAGAGATGCCATTTGAAGGAATATCAGATAAACTTCCCCTCGATCCTGACTATAAGCCACGAGTTGGTCTCAGTTTCTTCTTTAACCAAGATATTTCACCTGGAAAGGGTTAAAAATACAAGCTATCTCAAATAAAGAGACTACCACTTGTAAAGATTTCACAACAAACTTCTCTTACGAAACTTCCTCGAAGAGATACCATTTTATGGAGAATTAGATAAACTTCCCCTCGATCCTGACTATAAGCCACGAACTGGTCTCAGTTTCTTCTTTAACCAATATATTTCACCTGTAAAGGGTAAAAATACAAGCTATCTCAAATAAAGAGACTACCACTTGTAAAGATTTCACAACAAAATTCCCTTGCGAAACTTCCTCGAAGAGATACCATTTGATGGAGAATCGGATAAACTTTCCCTTGATCCTGACTATAAGCCATGAACTGGTCTCAGTTTCTTCTTTAACCAAGATATTTCACCTGGAAAGGGTAAAAATACAGCTGTAGGAATCTTTCAACGAACTGTCTTTATCATTGAAGTACAACCAAACTCAACAACGAACTATCTCCCATAATGACGAGACTACCATTCATTGGAGTAACAAATTTCAGCAACGAACTACCTCCCATAATGTCGAGGCTACCATTCATTGGAGTAACAAATTTCAGCAACGAACTACCTCCCATAATTTCGAGGCTACCATTCATTGGAAAAACAATCTTCATCAACGAACTATCTCCGATAATGACGAGACTACCATTCATTGGAAGTAACAAATCTTTTTTCGTTAACAAACTTACTGGGAAGGACAGGTTGCTCAAATAAAGAGAACCGCCACTTGCTGTTTTAAGAAGGAATTGTAATAGGACTGGCGAGAAATGAAGCTTTTGATTTCCTGGGGAAATACCAATACATTCCTGTTGGGGGAAAAAATCTTTGCGTGCAAAATAAATGCACATTCTCATATCAAGGCTTAAAGCCTGCAGAAATCAGAATAATAATATTTTTAGGGACTACCGACTCAAACCAGAAATAAACTAGAATGAGATAATCAACTAAGTTAGCACCCGATGAGCAATAAACTCAAAAGGGGATCGCACTCCATCCAGATAGTGAACTGAATAGGAAGGCTGAAACAAAAATCTTCCATGAGGGATAACTCAGTGGGGAAATTGAAAGGATATACACTTTCTGTTTAACATTGACAAATCTATTGGAGAGAGAGTAACAATACTTTGCAAAGAGGATAATATGCTGACAAAACATTAACGGATGCAAATGAGTAATGAGATTAAATTTATCTATGCATGATGTGTATGAATGTATGGATGTTATCATGTGCATGCTGACAAAACAACCATATTATACTGGGGATAACCATACAAATCTAGCTTGGGTGAAGACAACACTCGGCCAAGTCACATGCAGGATGAAGATCAGATTCCACGAGAGGGTAAGCATCAATAGAGGAAACAAAGCCCTATTTCACGGCTTAACTTCGATGGGAAGAACATGGCTTGAAAACAATCAAAGAACCACTTGACTAGCAACAAATAAAGTTGCGGGAATATCATAAACTCTTCTATGTCTCACCGGGTAATACCAATACAGACTTCGATAAAGGAAGAGGAAACTTCATCGTCTAGACTTCCTTGGAGATTCCAAAACTAACTTCACTAGGGGGAATATGAAAGCCATGTCGTCGGGCCTTCAACTGGGGATGTCAATACAGACTTTACCAGGGAAGATGCAAAACTACATCGTTGATACTTCAACTGGGCATTGTTATGCTAACTTCATTGGGGAAAAAGAAGCTACACACACCAAAGAGAGCTTGGATACAGTCTTCAATATTAGGCATAATAGTTGTGTAAAGTTCTCTGGAGAGAGATCATGGAATTTCGTGGGATAACAACTTCAGAGGGAAGTATCATATTCGACACATCTGGAGAATTAAGAAGTTGACAACACAGTAATGGGTCAGCTTATGGGGATTTTAAATCAAACTCAGCACATAGCGAGAGAAATCCCAAGGAGTAGACGCCTATCTCGAAACTTCTTAGAATGTATATTGCCCTTGTCTGGTTGCTTAGAAGCACCTTACGACAATAATATCATAATTGGAGGGCATAATATCCTGCTGAAGATTCTACATTACTTATCAACACGAAAGGAGAAAGAGTTCAACAACCAAACCCATGCTTTGTAACTTTGCAACCTTCGCTTGGTCACCTTCTGACCATGGGAGGAAATTGCCCTCAGTCGGAGAAATCTGAATCAAGACCTGACTGGAGAGGATGGGATTACAAACCCAACATCAAATGGCTGCTTGAAGACAATCTAAACCAAAACTTAACTGGGGAAAGATGGGAACACAGGCCCAGATGCCACACCATGACCTGGAAGACACC